TGTAGTCAGCTTTAGTCCCCCACGGAATGGGGACCATAGTAGGCATGGGCATTTTTCTCTGGGTGGAAGTGAAGGGATAATTTCTGCATGGGGCTGGTCTGGAGGCCTGAGGTAGGCTCTGATCACATAGCTTAGACTGGGCAAGTCTGATTTCTCAGCACAGTTCCCTCACTTCTCTCTGAGCATCCCTTGCTAAAAATCAGGTCATGAATATGAAGGCAGCTCTTGGTCCTGCTTCCTTCTTCAAATGTCTTGTGTTTTATGCAGTTGCAAAGCCATGCATTGGTCTCCCTACATCTGCAGGTAAAGACCTGCAGGATTGTTTAACATCTTTGTCAGCAACATGGACAGTGGGATTGAGTGCACCCTCAGCAAGTTTGCTGAATGACACTAAGCCATTTTGTTCAGTTGACACACCATAGGCAAGGGATCTCATCCAGAGGGAGCTGGACAGGCTTGAGAGGTGGGCCAGTGCAAAAATTATGAAATCCAACAGGGCCAAATGCAAGGTCCTGCAGCTGGGTTGGGGCAGTCCCAAGCACAGATAGAGGCTGGGGGAGGAACAGATCATGAGCAGCTCTGAGAAGAAGGACTGGGGGCTGCTGGTGGGTGAAAAGTTCAGCATGAGCTGACAGTGAGCACTGGCAGCCCAGAAGGGCAGTTGTATCCTGGGCTGCATTGAAAGCAGCATGGTCAGCAGGGTGAGGTAGATGATTCCGCCCCTTTTACTCCACTCTCATGAGACCCCATCTGGAGTGCTGCATCCAGCTCTGGGGCCCTGTAGTGGTTTTAATCCAGGCCTTCCTTGGTGATCAAGTTGTAACTAAGGAAGGGGCAGTGTTCTCAGTATTCCATACGATTTTTACGTAAATCATGGTAAATCAAGAAGGGAGGAGAGGCCTTCACTCTTCTTCTCTTCCGGCGAGATTCAGGAACAGTGGGTCCCTGTGTTGGTCTCGCTTATCTAAGGCTGAGGCCTGCAGCATCCACTGGCCTGCCACATGGAGGCTTGGAGAGTGCTGGCAGTGTCTGCCAATCCTGCTTTCTAAGGGACGTGGTGAGATTTGTTTTACTAGTTATTTTACTAGTTCTCGGGTTTGATTGTGCATATCTATTCGGTGTCCCTTTTTGTTTCCTTTTGTCCCTTTTTCCCCTTTCCCTATCCCTTCGGGGGGTGTTTGGATTCCCATTTGCTGTGTACATAGCATCTTAACTGTAATATACATAAAATATATTTTTTGTATAACTAGCTTGATTTTTTCAGGTTCTTCAATTTGCATAGTTTTTTTTTCCTTTGCCCTTGGGAAAGAAGGAAGGGGAAAGGGGCGGGGGGGAGGCTGCTACTGGGCTTTGGGCATTTGGCAGGGAGCCAAGTCCAAACCATCACAGGCCCCCAGCACAAGAAAGATGTGGACTTGCTGGAGCAAGTCTAGAGGAGAGCCACTAATATGATCACAGGGCTGGCACTTACAGCACCTTCCAGTTACAAAAAATAAGTGGGTTACAAAAGAGCTGAAGAGGTACTTTTCACAAG